CAGTTGTTAAGTGAATCACTGCAGTTGTTAAGTTAGTAACACGGTTGTTAAGTGAATCTGGCTTCCCCCTTGACTTTCCTTGTCAGAAAGTCACAAAAGGGGATCCCATGATCTTGGGACGCAGCAACAGTCATAAATATGAACCAGTTGCCAAGCATCCAAATTTTGATCTCCTGACCACGGGGATGCTGCAAACGAGGGCGAAAAATGGTCACGAGTCACATTTTTTCAGTGTTGTTGTAACTTTGAAGGGGCACTAAATGAACTGTTGTAAGTTGAGGACAGGCTGTATCTTGGCAGTGTTTCTCTCTTGCTGTTGTGGTTCGCCGGCAGCAGGTGCAGACGGCTGAGGTCTCGGAGAGCGAGGACTCAGATGAGGGGCCTGCATGTGATGCAGGGATGGGGCCAGGACTATCAGAGAGTAGGATGCTGCCTTCGGAGATTGTGGAGGTTGGCAGCAGTGATGAAGAGGTCCCCGAGGAGCCTGTACCCAGTGGGTGTGTGCGCAGGGCTGCTCGAAGGAAAGAGCAGCTGCAGCAGCAGCTGGGGGATTCGGGAGTAAGGCTGCAAGGTAATGGCCCCTCCCTTAAGAGATAAAAGCCAGCTGAGAAACCAGAGTTCGTTGCAGGAAGCAAAGAAGTTTTTGCACTCGAGCCTTGTGGACGTTCAGAGTATCTTGGTTGGTATTTGGAGACTCTTTGTGTTTGAAATATTTCTTAGTAACTTTATCTAGCGTTCTTGGCAGCCTTGCACAACCTTAGCAAGGCTCGTTCTTATCAGAGACAATTTGTTTGAAACAGCCTTTTAACCATGAAGGAACGGAATTCATAAAGAATCACCAAAAGGTTTTGCTGGTTACCTCTGTTTTGTGTTTGTTACCTTGGAACAAGGTTTGGGTCAGAACACCTGCGATGGACAAACAAGTCATATTTTGAGTATCACAATCAAACTGAGGAGTAGTGCATTCTAAGACATCTCTTTGTGATTGTGATACGGGGCTTGGATGAAAGGAAAGAGAAGTTCCAGTGAGATATAGACAAAGTCACAAAAATATAGAAAAATCCTTAAAGGAAGGGGAATGAACTGCTCTGGATGCCACAGAGGAAAACAGCAGAAATGGAACATGGGTTCAGAGAAACATAAGGGAGATCATGGTGAGGTTAGTACTTGTTTTGTTACATGATTACATCCCTTATTGATCTTTAATAAGACTCTGCTATTTTTTTCACATAATTGAAACCGGCACGTTAAATCGGGGAAGGGTACAGATGGAGATATCAGAATTTCTGGGAAACATCATGCAAAATTAGCAGGAACAGAAAAATGCTCACCAACAGAACACAATGGGCTTTCAACAACTACAAGGATGAATTGATAAAGGTATGCCTAATCTACCTCTCATGAAACCTGCACGTCCAATCTGTCTTCCTGTCTCATCTCATTATAGTAATAGCACTTAGACTTAGCATATACCACTTTACGGTGTTTTACAGCCCTCTCTAAGCGGTTTACAGAGTCAGCCTATTGCCCCGCAACAATCTGGGTCCTGCTTTTACTGACTTCGGAAGGATGGAAGGCTGAGTCAACCTTGATCCGGTGGTCAGGATTGAACTACTGGCAGCGAGCAGTGAGTTAAGCCTGCAATTCTGCAATCTAACCACTGCGCCACTACGGTTATCCCAATGGAAACCCTACAGGAGTCTAGCCACTCTATGCATCAGATAAAATACAGTGAAGCTCAGAAGAGTTCAGGCCTTTTAATAAGATTGATTAGTCGGAAAGGATGCTCTAAGATTTTCTTATTTTTGACATTATGGGTTCTCTTTCTACAATAGAAGATAGATTGCGGGTGAGGATAGATACAGGTAGTCCTCGGCATATGACTTACATAATTGCGGTCTCCATGACCATCATGACTGTTGTTAAGTGAAACACCATGTGACCTCACTTGATTTTACAATTTTTAAAACTAAAATAATGGTCATTAAGCAAGTGTGGAAGTCGTTAAGCGAAACCATTGTTGGTTATGGGGCTTTTGGTTTTTTTGCCAGAAACTTTAAGTAAACACCAGTTTAATTGTTGTGAATCGCAGTCACATGACTGTGGGACGCTGCAAACAGTTGTAGATATGGCCTGATTGCTGAGTACCTGAAATGTGGTCATAAGACCACAGGGGGAATCCAGTTATAAGTTGAAGACTACCTGTATAATTTGTATAGAGCAGTGTTGGCGAACTTTTTGTTGTGATGTGCCGAAAACGTGCGCCCATGCATGCCAGCACCCACAATGCAATGCGCCCTGCCCCCAGTGCATGCGCACGCAACACCCTCGCCCTGCCTCTTACCTGCACTGTGCATGTTGGTGCCTCCCAGCTGATTTTTGGCCTGAATGAGGCTGTTTTCGCCGTCCCGAAGGCTCAAGGGAAGCCTCGGGAGGCTGAAAATGGGCCCGTTTTGCCATTTCTGGTATTTCCAGAAGACCCGTTTTTTGGCCTCCCGAGGCTGCAGAGGCTTCCCTCGAATCTCCAAGAGGGAGAAAACGGCCTCAAACGGCCGAACATCAGCTGGGAGGTGCGCACATGCACAGTGCAAGTAAGTTTGGCTGGGGCTCCCATGCCTGCACAAATGGCTCTGCGTGCCACCTTTGGCATGTGTGCCATAGGTTCACCATCATGGGTATAGAGCCTCTTCACTGTATTCTAGAATCTAGGCAAACCTCTCTTTCGTAAGCATCATGGCATGGGGGTCTTTTCTGTAAGTTTGATGCAGAAGGCTTCTGTGTGCAAAGCAGATTAGCTATGATGCCATTAAAAGCAAACGCTTCCCAGACACCAGAAGAGAGAATTTGGAAGGGACCTTGGAGGTCTTCTAGTCTAACCCACTGCCTGAGCAGGAAACCCTATACTATTTCAGACAAATTGTTCTCCAGTCTCTTCTTAAAAACCTCCAGTGATGGAGCACGCACTGCTTCTGGAGGCAATTCGTTCCACTGATTAATTGTCCTCACTGTCAGGAAGTTTCTTCTTAAATTCCAGGTTGGATCTCTCTTTGGAAGCTTTCCGTCCATTCCTCCTTGTGCTGCCCTCAGGTGCTTTGCAGCATAGGTTGGCTTCCTCTTCTTTGGGACAGAACAGTTGAAACCACTGAACTAACCCACAAAGGAAAGCTCCTCACGCCAGCAAGGATTGTCCGAGATTGCTTAGCCATAAGGTAGTTGGCCTCCATCCCAATGTATAAAAACCCAAACTAGCCATGATATTTAAGTTTGTCAATGTGGTTAATGATGCGTTTTGTTGTGTATATGACAACGTTGAGGAACTTTGGGCAGACCAAGAACCATGGGAAGTGAGAAAGAGAAGTTTAATTATTTCCCTACCTACTTTTTTTAAAAAGAAAAACAAAAACCACTTTGCCGTTGGCTCAGCCATAGATTTTTTTTACAGAATATCTCTTCTTTGTAAACCTCCCTTGTCGTTCCTCCCTTGTCATTTTTCTTCCCAAGGGGGAGAAAAAAAAAACTCTGATGCTAGAATGGGGCTTGATTGTGACTGATACCATTAAAATCCCTTTATCTGAAGCCACCCAACTTTTCCTTTCCAAACCCGCGGTTTTGATTTCAAAGAAGGTGCTTGGAAGACTATGGCTTAAAGAAAAAGAGATATATCGCTTTCCTCACTTTACCGGAAAGCTGTGGTAGACCTTATCCTAAATGGGAAACTGAATCCGCACAGCTAACATCATAGCTAGTTTGGTCCTAAGAAATTGTTCTGAAGGGGATGCTTGCCTGATTTTTCCATACAGGTAGTCCGTGGCTTAGGCCCACAACTGAGTCCAACATTTTGTTCATTAAGCAAGGGAGTTTTGCCCCGTTTTTTGCCATTTTTGGCCACGGTTGTTAAGTGACCCACCCTAATTGTTAAAATTAGCAATGAGGTCATTAAATGAATCTGGCTTCCCCATTCACTTTGCTTGTCAGAAGGTCACAAAGGATTATCACACAATACCAGGACACTGCAACCGTCATAAGTAGGAGCCAGTTGCCAAGGGTCCAAATTTTGATCACGTGACCATGGAGATAGCAATAGCCCTTACACTTAAGTACCGCTTCACAGGGCTTTTACAGCCCTCTCTAAGCGGTTGACAGAGTCAGCCTATGGCCCTCAACAGCCTGGGTCCTTGTTTGACCCACCTCGGAAGCAGTGGCGTGTTAACCATTAAGCAGACTAAGCACCTGCTTAGGGCACCAGGTCCAAAGGGGGCACCACAAAGTTGAGAATATGGCTTCGTTTGTACAGTACCGTGTTTCTCATATAATAAGGCTGGGTCTTTTTTTTTTTTTTGAGCCCCTAAGAAATGGCTAGGCCGTCTTTTGGGGGGTGACTTAATTCCCCACCCGCCTTGCATCTTTGGGTGGGCGGGCGGTGATGGCTTGGATGTTGACCTTGGCGTCGGTGGGGCACTTCGTATCGGGGTCAACGCAGGCAGCACCATATCCGGGTGTGCAACAAAAGTACTTCCTAACGGCCAGCCCCCCCACCATTCCCCACCATTTCGCATGTTTTAATATGGGCCTTAATTTGGGGGGAGGGGCTTAATTTCATTTCATGCCTATAAAACATACTGGGACTTCCTACTGGGAGAGGCTGTATTGTTGGAGAAACAGGGTAGGTACAAAGGAAGGAAGGGGGGCACCAAGATTTCTCAGTGCTTAGGGCACCAGTGAGTCTTAATCTGCCACTGCTCGGAAGGATGGAAGGCTGAGTCAACCTTGAGCCTGGTGGGATTCAAACTGCCAAATTGCAGGCAGCCGGCAGTAAGCAGAAGTAGCCTGCAGTACTGCATTTGAACCACTATGCCACCGTGGCTCACAAGATGTTGCAACAAGGGTGAAAAAGGGTCACGAGTCACTTTTTTTCAGAGCAGTCACTAAAACGAACGGTTGTAAGTCTAGGACTACCTGGACCTCTGCTGGAGGGGCAGAGGAAGTCTGAAGACGTAGCCCTAGTGGCTGAGCCAGGGGTGTTGAAAGCATTTGTCAGCCCGTGCCCGTCTTTCGGGGGCATACTCCAGCATGGGCAGGACGAAACGGGTGAAGTGGGTGGCCTGAGGCTTGGGCCAGCTGTATTTATCAATGAGGATGTGATAGAGGTCGTAGAAAGAGATCCGGGACATCCGGAGAAGAGCCCCTGCCAAAGGAGACGAAGAAGAAGCAGTTAGGTGGCCGTGACTGAAAATGTGGTCCAGGCTTCGCAAGTTTTATGCCACTAGCAACCGTGCCAAATATCGTTTGGGATTTGGGTGGGTTTACAGCAGTGGTGGGATTCAAATGTTTTTACTACCGTTTTTGTGGGCGTGGCTTGGCGGGTGTGGCGTGGCATGGCTTGGTGGGCGTGGCAGGGGAAGGATACTGCAAAATCCCCATTCCCTCCCCACCCCACTAACCTGCTTTCCAGCTCCGTTCTCCTGTGCAGGGCAGCAAAAGAAGACCCAGCCAATCAGCTGGAACTCGGGAGGCGGAGCATAGATGGGGCGGGGCCAGTCAGAGGTGGGATTTGCCGGTTCTCCGAACTACTCAAAATGTCCGCTATTGGTTCTCCAGAACTAGTCAGAACCTGCTGAATACCACCTCTGGTTTACAGAAAGGATGTCTTGTAAATGCCAGGAGTGTGTGTGTGTGTGTGTGTGTGTGTGTGTGTAGAGAGAGAGGGGGGGGGAAATCATAGCTTCCCATCTCCATCCTGGCATCCTCACCTTGCCTGCTGAAGAAAGTTGACGTCTGCTGCCAAAGGAAAGCAGTTTTGGGTGGGATTTTGCCCAGGAGTTCAATGATCCGAGCCACGTGATCTGAAAGGCATAGAAAGCAGGGCCAGATGTAGGTGGGAGGAATGAGCTCGCAAAAGAGGCTACACACACTGTGGACCTACCATCATCTCTGGAAAAGTACTGGCCGGCTTGAGGTTCGAAAAGGTGCTTTCCAGTTGCCATTTCAAAAGCCTAGAAGACGAATGAGCCTTCAATCAATCAGCTATTAGCCAATTCAAATAACAGAAATAATATCCAGCAACACATATCTGCGGTTTTTGCAATGCAAAGGTTACAGGTACAATGAAAGTTGCATTTCCCAGAAATTATGTGAACACCAAGGACAAGAAGGAAGCAAAAGGCTTTTTAATGCAGCCTTAATTTGTTTTTAAACTCTAAACTGACCCTCCTGTCTACATATCAAAAGGGTTGAGCAGGCCAGGGCTGTCTTACCCCTTTTTATAGATTAGATTACCTGCCCGAGCAATTTATCAATGTCACAGACTGGAGGAAGGTCAATATGTCACTGTCACAAGGTCTGAGAAGAAGCTAACCGGGGTAGAGATCTGTTCTTTCAATCCTTCATTTTGTAATGAGGAAAAGATAGTCCTCAGCGTACGACCACAATTGGAACCGGAGTTTCCATTGTAAGACTGTGCAAGTCATAATCAGACTTGTCCTGATTTTATGACTACTTTTACAGGGCTTTTAAATCTTGTGGCTAAGTAAATCACACAGTCGTTATGAGAATCCGGCTTCCCCAACTGACTTGCTTATTGGAACCTGGCTAGGAAGGTAGCAAATTATGTCCATATGACTACAAGACTCTATCATCAACATCATCCTCTTTTAATGACCCCATAATCCCTTGCGGGATAGAGTTGGGGCAACTGAATGGAGCTGAGTGTTTACTGGCTGGATGCCCTTCCTGTTGCCAATGTGGAGTTTTGTTCAGCAAAACTCAGTGTGCCCAGAGAGAAAAATATCTGCCTCTACCTAGGATCAAACTCACGGTCTCCTGATTGTGAGGTGAGAGCTCCACCTCTAGGCCACTGCACTGCTCGAACTACAAGACACTGTAACCAACAGAAATACGAGCTGGTTGGGCAGAGACCAAATGATGATCCCATGACTGTGGGAATGGGGCAGTGGCCATAACCTTGAGGAGAATTCATACCTCACTTTTTCTGAGGCCGTCATAACTTCAAACCATTGTTAAAAAAAACGGTCATAAGTCCAGGACTACCTGTTTATGCAACAACCTCGAGACTAGAAGTACGAGTTAGATTTCTGCGTCGTTGGCAAAGCATTGTGAAATGGACACCAGTGAGGTACATAGAATCAGAGCTTGGCCATTTCCTTAGGCAAAGTTAGACAATATCCAGCCCAATTTTCATCCCAGCTTTAATGGAAAACATGGCAGTGAGATGGAGGAGGAGGAGGAGGAGGAGGGGGAGAGTCCATAATGAAAAAGGGAAGCATTCAGCTGCCTCCAGTCTAATGGTATTATCATCTTGTATTTTAGGTGGGTGGGAAGGAATAATCTTTAAAAGAGTAGTTTCAACCTCAACAAAACTTTCTGTCCTAGGACAGATACAAAGAATGAATCTAAATTACTTTCAAATAATGTAGAGATCTTAATTAAATAACTAAAATGGCCGTATGGGTTATGGGTTTTGTTGTTGTTGCTGTTTTTGCTATTTGCGTACATTTAACTTATTCACTCTGGGGGGAAAATCAGTCTCAGGAAAAAAAACTTTGCTTTTTGGGGTTCGCCTCCCTCTCCACAGTGAGAAAGTGGTAGTCTAGATCAAAAAAGAGACACCTTTTTTCTCCTAGCAGGTGCCTTTCCTGAGGCACAAAGATATCTTACAATCACAGGTAATCCTCTAGTTATGACCATAATGGAACCTGCCCATTACACAATTTCAGATCTGGGTCATAAGTCCACCTTTTCAGGTAGGGCACCCAGCAACCGGTTGTAAATTAAGGACTGGCTGAACATTGAAAATAAGACTAAATAAAGCAATTAAAAATATGTTTTTAATTGCTTTCTATTCTTTCTGTCTATTTTCTTTTCTTTCTTTTTTTTTCTTTCTTTTCTTTCATTTGTGTATGTGTTGTTGGTTTGTTTTTAATTGTAAAATTAATAACATTTATTTATAAAAAAGAAAAAGAAAATAAGACTAAATAAAAGAAGGGACTGGCCGCCAGCGTCTTATCTCTGGTAATCAGCTTATCTGCCAGGTTCGGCTACTAAAAAGACAGCTGAAATTCCACAGGCCAGTATCACCCTCACGTTTCTGCTAAACAGATTCCCCCGGAGCCTGGTCCTACCAAGCAGGCTGCACTCCAAATATCTGCTGGGGTGCTGTAATCTAATCCAAGGAGAACTTCCACCGCTCTGTAGGGCTGCGTCTGGATCTTTTTGGAGAACGGTTTATACTGGAACAAAAAAGAAACAAACAATGGAGATATTGAGGGCGGATTCTGACACATCCCTTTAGATCCGAGTGTTGCTCTAGTAACCCAAACCGTCCCGATTACCGGGTATGCTTAGACAGGATCATTGGCCCTGCAAGATCCTCAAAGAACAGCACGTTTATTTGTGAAGTTAAGCTTGGGAGCCATCTGTCTGATGAAAGGCAGATTTTCCTAGTTGCGAGAAAAGATGACTAAAGCCGCAAATCTCAGCAGAAGTTCCATTAACATACTTAATAGACTTATTTCTGAGTAAGCACCTATTGTAAGTGATAGAAGCTTATAAAGATGGAGGCGGGATTCTAACCAGTGATTTGAAGGGAGCATTGCTGGCCAATTCTGCTGACTGCCAGCAGTTTGATCCCGACCGGCTCAAGGTTGACTGAACCTTCCATCCATCCGAGGTGGGTAAAACGAGGACCCAGATACGACTTCAGCAACAGAGTGGTCAAGGTCTGGAATACTCTACCTGACTCTGTGGTTTCTTCCACTAACCCCAAACACTCTAACCTCAGACTGTCTACTGTTGACCTCACCCCTTTCCTAAGAGGTCTTGAAGTGCCGTGCATAAGTGCACCAGTGTGCCTACCGTCCCTGTCCTAATGCTCCCTTTTATTCTTATCCATTTCATGTATTAATAATCATGCTTATACTTATATATGTTATCAAATACACGCTTGACAAATAAATAAAAAATAAATAGATTGTTGGGGGGCAATAGGCTAACTCTGGAAACCGCTTAGAGAGGGAAGTGTGGGGAGATGCTGGAAAGGTCACAAGTAGAGGACCGAACGTGGGGTTTTTTTTCCAGTGCTGTTGGAACTTCAAACGGTCACAAAACAAACGGTTGCTAAGTGGAGTACAAATGTGATTTTTTTTAAAAAAATGACATGCCCCCAAACTGCACCTACTGGCTTTTCTATCTTGAGAAATGAAATTAGTAGGCGCATTCATGGAGATCGTGCTTGTGAGTAGTTAATGGGCACGTGGTTTTATGAAACTCCTATGTGGAAAGAAAGTTTGCTGAACAGAAAGTCAATTGCTAAGGAGGGGCATTATCAGGAAACGGTTCTGGCTGAGTTTTGCAGACAAGACTTCCAGAGGTACCTGGGTGCTCTCTGTAGAAAGCTGAACTTAAGTGGACTTTCAGAGGAGGTTAGGGATGCAATGGCATTTTACCTGTGGATAGGTAACAGATTTAACAAGTAACAGATAATCGGAGCTGGAAGGGTACCATTTCTGATCCTACAGCAGGAGTCTCCCCAACTTGGCAACTTTAAGACTTGGGGACTTCAACTCCCAAGCATGGCTGGTTGAGAAATTCTTCTCAGTCCACAAGTCTTCAAGTTGCCAAGTGTGCCCTAGAGCAGTGGTGGCTAACCTTTTTGGGCTCACATGCCAGCACCCAAAAGGCAATACGTGGCCCTCCCACACCCGCTGCGCATGCACACACAATCCCCCCCCCCACCGCCCCCGTTTAGTCACTTCCGGTATTTCCGGAAATACAGGAAGTAACGAACTAGCCCTATTTTGGGGGCTGCAAAGAGTGCAGAGGCTTCCCTCAATCCTCTGGGAGGCCGTAAAAGGCTTCAAATGGGCTGAAAATCAGCTGGGCAGCATGCACATGCGCAGTGAGGCACGTGCATGCACCTGGGGCTCGTGTGCCCGCACAAATGGCTCTGCATGCCACTGTGGCATGCGTGCTATAGGTTTGCCATCACAGCCCTGGAGAATCATTATCTCTTTATTTTTTCAGTATCTTTACAATATATTTAGTTTCCTACTATGATTTTGATGTCTTATTTAGTGTCCTACGACTGTTGCATCTTATGATTCATGATGAATGTATTTATGATGACTATGATCATGATTTATCCCTTATATCTTTTATGTTACATTGAGAGCTTATGCACCAAAGACAAATTCCTTGTGTGTCCAATCACACTTGGCCAATAAAGAATTCTATTCTATTCTATTCTATTCTATTCTATTCTATTCTATTCTATTCTATTTTCTATTCTATTCTATATTCTATTCTATTCTATTTTCTATTCTATTCCATTCCATTCTATTTTCTATTCTATTCTATTCTATTTTCTATTCTATTTTCTATTCTATTCTATTTTCTATTCTATTCTATTTTCTATTCTATTCTATTCTATTCTATTCTATTCTATTCTATTCTATTCTATTCTATTTTCTTTTCTATTCTATTCTATATTCTATGTTCTATTTTATTCTCTCTCTCTTTTTTAGTTGATTTGTAGCCAGGACTGACAGGTTGTAGTCGCCAAATCATCTCGGGGATCTAAGTCACTGTGACTTGTAAACTGCATTTTACGGCTTACAGGGTTCCGTGGGTCTGCCCAGTTATGGATTATTCAGTCGGGGTCAGATGTGCCATGCCACTGCACAAGGTGGGAATCCACTCGAAGAGCCCTGCACTTTCGGATGTGGGGAAAAAGAAGCCAGCACAAGAGGAGAGGCTGGTACAGACTCACGGTCCAGCATGCACTTCCCAGGTCTGCAATTTTCACTCCCATTTTCATTAGGTTGCCGCAGTCCAGAAGAGCTGCTGGGCCATCTAGAACAAAGCCAGACAAAGAAGCCAGTTGAAGAACTTTCTTGGAGGTCGTGCTGCACAGCGCATCCAACCCCAGTTCATATCTGTTATATAGTAGCATCAACCCCGTTGGGGCTGTACTTGGGGGCATCTGCAGGGGAAGGGCCAAAGCATCAAGGTGATGGTTACGATCCCCCCAATTAGCACCTCTCTTTTTAGCGCCCTGTCCCACTGCGGTTCAGGTGGGACCGGCTGCTGTTAAGCTCTTCTCATCCCGAACCAGCTTTTCTTCTGCCTTTATCTTCACCATATAGAAAAATATTTCAAACTTGCTGCGTTTTCCTCCGTCCCTCCTCTTTCTGAACTACATCTTTCAGGCGGCAAACCATTATTCCACCTTGAGTTCAGCCGAGGAGAAATACACAATAGGCGTGCAATAAATGTAATACATAATGAATCCTCGCCACTTAGAAACTTAGGAGATTCCAAAAATCAAAGCGGGGGCTTCTGGTGGCCAAAGATGTGTTCAACCCACTGAGCCATGATTGTGTATTTTTGTTTGGGCGAAGGGTCACAGTTTGTAAAATGAAACGCAGCCCACCATGTAGTTGGTCTTTTGGGTAGCTATGTGAGAACTGCGAGGGCACTTGATAAACGAGTGATCATTCAAACCAAAGGCTGCCCTATCTAGGGTGCAAAATCCAGACAGCCACTAGATCACAGCAAAGAAATTCTTCCGATCTCTTGCAGCCTTCCTGCCCTCGAGACCACCCAGTGAAATCATTCACGGAACAGAGCCTGGTTTTAAAATGCTGCATGTTTCTGCAACTGGATCAGAGGTGGTATTCAGCAGGTTCTGACCAGTTCTGGAGAACCGGTAGCGGGAATTTTGAGTAATTCGGAGAACTGGCAAATCCCACCTCTGACTGGCCTCACCCCACATCTATTCTCTGCCTCCCACTGAGTCCCAACTGATCGGCTAGGTCTTCTTTTGTTGCCCTGCACAGGAGAACGGAGCTGGAAAGCAGGTTAGTGGGGTGGGGAGGGAAGGGGGATTTTGCAGTAACCTTCCCCTGCCATGGCTGCCACACCATGCCCACAAAACTGGTAGTAACAAATTTGGAATCCAACCACTGGACTGGATACTGGTTGTTCCTGCCTAAAAGAAGGCTGGGGATTCAGAGTCACCTTCTGAATATGAACTCCAGTTCCTATTGGCTAGGCTAGGTAGCATGGCTAATGGTTGGGAAAGATGGGAGCTGGAGTCCAAATACAGAAGGATTGTCCAAGAGCAGAATGATGCCTGGTCTCTCGGTCTCTGCTCTCCATTCCACCGTTCGATGTTGGTAAGAGCTGTGGTGAAGGTTATTCTCTTTGCATCTCCCGTTATCTGCTACAGTGGAAACGCTTCAGTGTGACTAAAGGCTTGCTAGCTTTGGATGTATTCCCTACAGCAGGGGTGTCCAATTCAAGGCCTGTGGGCCGGCTCTGGCTCCAGCTCGTGGGGTGCTGAGATCTGGCCCGCAGGACCACCCTGCAAACAGTGAAGGGCCAGCCCGTGGTGCCTCTGTCAGCGAAAACAGAGCCTGGTTGTGGCGCCCAGGCCATTACAGGTGCCCCAGACACAAGTGACATCAAGCTGGCCACGCCCCTCAAGGAAATCGAGTTTGACACCCCTGCCCTACAGGGAGCTCCTGAAACTCCCGAGGGAGCAGGTGCTTCTTACAAATTGCTCGCCCGTTTCCCGGTTGTCTCCCAAGCCCAAACGTACCTCCTGCCTTGGGTTTGCGGTTTGCTCCCAGGCTGCGTTGCAAAGAAACCATGTTGTGCAGGCTTTCTTCGGTAACATACAGCAAGATGTTGTCTGGTTTGATGTCTGTGTGGATGATGCGACATTCTTTGTGCAGGAAATGTAAACCTTGGAGTATCTGCATTAGCCAGATGCGAAAGGCAGTCAGTGGCCCCAATTCTATCTACTGACACCAGGTCAAGATAAAGACTCAGCCTTCAGCCCTAGCAATGATCCCTGGTAGGGCATATAATTTCCTTGGCCACAGGATAACAATGGTTTGGCCTTCTTTCTCTGCCCAGCTTTTAACCACCCAAAGACTAGTCATTTCTAACTCTGCTTTGCTTTTATGCTCTAGAGACTGGCCTGCCCCAGCATTGGCTAGAAAGGGGTTGCTTCAGTTTATTTCTGAAAGTTTCCTTGTGTTTAAATTGTTTCTTCTCAAGCCTCTGATCCTGATCATGGGAAAGCAGGTTTAAAATGGCCACCCAAGAGACTCCGCTTTTCCCCAAGGGTGGTTAGCTTTAGGCCTAAAAGCCATAATGTGGCTAATTGACCAGTTTTGGCATGGCCATTGTGGTTTGCTAGCCATTGCTTATGGCTTAGCCTGTTGAGGGAACCATGTCCATTATGATTTAAACAAATTCAGGATCTGCACAGCATGTGAATAAAACAGTCCCTCATCCCTGTGCAGATAACCAATGTTGAGCAGAGATAGCAATAGCACTTAGACTTATGTATCGCTTCACAGTGCTCATTTTACCCACCTCGGAAGGATGGAAGGCTGAGTCAACCTTGAGATTCGAACTGCCAAATTGCAGGCAGCCGACAGTCAGCAGAAGTAGCCTGCGGTACTGCACTCCAACCACTGTGCCACCGCAGCTCATACCTTTGATACCTTGTCCTTAGTTGTGAATCTACCGCAACACCGTCCCCAACCTTTCAGCTCCATGAACCAGCAATAGAGGTGGCGGTCAGGGGTGGGAGGAGATGGTTTAGCGCGCACAACTTAATCCTGCACATGCGCAAATGGAGCTTTGTGCACCCACCTGCCACAGGCTGTGGATCGGTAGCAGTCCATGGACCAGGGATTGGCGACCTCTGTACTAGAAGGTGTTGCCATTCCACGGGGGGGAAGGTGGAGAATAGGCATCTGGCTAGCCTCTCTGGGCAGTAAGATCTCCAGAAATTTAGTTTACTGACTCTGATCCAGGGTATAGCACCAGCCTAGAATCCATAAGGCTAGGGAATGACTATGTGCCCTATATAAACGTATGTCAAACTCCGCAAGGTGCAAGGTGTAGTATTGTGACTGAAGCCCTACCCATTGTGCACATGCCCGCAAAGGGCTTGGTGACGCTTGAATCACAACGCCACATCTCCGCAGATCTTGGCACACCCTCCCCCAACCGGTGCTCTTTTTCCTTCTTCAGCTCTCCGGTGAAGTTCTACTCACCTGGCGCATGGCCTTCTTGACAAAGGGCAGCGGGAGGCCTTGGGGGCCTCGGATGCTCAGCAGAGTCTGCAACGAAGGTCCCAGCAGCTCCATCACTAAGCACACATGTGGGGGCCAAGTCAGGGATCCACTAACTGAAAGGTTCCCCTAATGCTGAAGTTACTGTAAGGCGGGGGGGGGGGCAGCATGGAGACTGGAGGGGGACTTTTTAGCACGCTACCCCATAAAATGTCAACTGAGACAGTTGAGGGCGAGCGCAAGGCTATAAGTGCTCCAGGCAAGGCTTTTGAGTCTTTAAAAAAAAAAAAAACATTTGCAGAGTTTAACTACATTTTCTGGCTCTCAACAGTTAAGGCTGTAAGGCAATGTCCGTGGTCAGTTGTCTCTCTCTCAACCCTCTAAACAAACGGGGCTTTTATTTCTGGGAGATGGGGATAACAACGACAACCATAAGATGTCATCATCTAGGAAATTTAGATTATTTAAATTTCCCCCCACCCCTCTCCATAGACTTCAGGGCAGCAATCAGGATGATTGACTGCCTTTTGTCCTCACAAATGAGATGGGCAACAGCACTTTGCCCGCAGTCATCAAATGAGGACAATTTGAAGTAGAATAAGAATTTAACAGAATAGCAGAATTGGAGGCAATCTTGGAAGTCTTCTAGTCCAGGGGTCTCCAACCTTGGCAACTTTAAGCCTGGAGGACTTCAACTCCCACAGCTGGCCAGCTGGGAATTGTGGGAGTTGAAGTCCTCCAGTCTTAAAGTTGCCAAGGTTGGAGACCCTTGTTCTAGTCCAACCCTCTGATCAGGCACTTAGCACTTAGACTTATATACCTCTTCACGGTGCTTTTACAGCCCTCTCTAAGTGGTTTTACAGAGTCAGCCTATTGCCCTCAACAATCTGGGTCCTTATTTTAAGGATGGAAGGCTGAGTCAACCTTGAGCCGGTCAGGATCGAACTGCTGGCAGCCGGCAGTGAACAGAAGTAGCCTGCAGTACTGCATTCTAACCACTGGGTCACCATGGCTCAAAGCCTATACCAGTGGTGGCTAACCTTTTTTGGCTCCCATGCCGATAAAAGTGCTCGCGCTTGCGTGCTGGGCCCCCGCACCCCGTGCGCATGCGTGCGAGATTCCCCCCTCGCGTGCCACGCGACTGCGTGTGCGTGCGCAATTCCCCCTCGCACGCCGTGCATCTTTGCGCATGCGTTCGCGATTCCCCCTCGCACTGTGTCATGCATGTGTGATTCCCCCCTTGTGCGCAGCGCATATGTGCATGAGATCCCCTGGTGTGCAGCGCATCTCTGTGCATGTGCACGTGTCTCCTGTGCTCCCCCTCCACACCCCTGTGCATGCACGTCAGATATCCAACAGCTGTCGGGCAGCAGCGTGCGCATGTGAACTGGGGCTCTTTCCGGCGACCTCTTGCGTGCTGGGGGAAATGGCTCGGTGTGCCACTTCCAGCATGTGTGGCATAGGTTCACCAACACGGCCCTATACCATTTCATACAGTGGTTGTCCAACCTCTTTGAATCTAGTTCTCACCGAGGCCAAAGTCCACCTCTAAGTTGTGGGTGAAGAGATTGGACAGCCATTTGTCTGAAATGGTATAGGGTCTCCTGTTTGAGCACGGGGGTGGGGGTGGGGGTTGGACTAGAAGACCTCCAGGATCCCTTCCAGCTCTGTTATTCTGTTAAAATCTGTTCCCATGAATGGGTGGGTGCTCATTGCAGGAATCACTGATTATATTGACCATTGTAATGTTTCGACTCTTCTGTATATAATCTCGATTTCTGCTAAGTCACCTGTCTTTGGGATTGCAGCGGGTTGAAATGCTGATAAACAACCAAGTAAATTGTTTCATGAAAGTTAGCCCGCCTGCTATTTTTCATCCGAAGCCACAAATTCACTGACAGGAGGGAACAGAGAAACCATGTTTGGCCAAGTTCCCTGTCAGGGACAAGGCCACGTTTGATGCGGCTCTTCCCTCAAACTGTCTGCCCTGAGAGAGAAATTGCTCTTCTGTCAGGCCGCCACATGGAGGTAGGAGAACAGCTGCAGTGCGATTTCATCACCTCTCTGATGGGATCAGCCGTCTTGAGCTTTTCCCAAGCTGTCACCTGATCAGCAGCTCTTCTCCTAGAACTGTTTTCATCCCGGTTCTCTGGGGAAGCGTTCCAAGAAAGAGCTTGCCTTCCCCTCCCCCTTCCCATCCTCACCTCTGCTCTTTTTCCTTGTCAATCTTATTTTTGCAAATGAAGTCTGAGAGCAGAGGCCGCCTCCCTAATGAATCTGTGCAAACCACATAAAACCACCTTCACTGAGTTTAAAAAATAAATAAAAATCAAGTCATATTTTAATTCCTCCCTTCATTTTATCGATTGGCCAGTCCAGTCCCAGAAGATGGCCTTTTTTCCACAGTGGCCCCTGCTCTACGGAAGATCTTTCCTTCAGAGATTTAAGATGGCTCCAACCCTGTTAGCCTTTCATAGGGCCCTGAAAATCTGGCTATATTTCCGTGATTGGGGTGCTGAATGTGTTAAGGGCCCCATTTTCTGGCTGTATTGGTAACTAGATATCTTGCTCCTTTATATATTTAATTAGGATGTTTTTAATATTTTTGGTTTTAAAATGTTTTTAGTACTTTTAAATGTAATGTATTTATTTTTGAATTGTAAGCTATCCAGAATTGTTGACTGAGATGGGTAGCTATAAAATTTTAATGAATAATTATCTATCTATATCTATCTATCTATCTATCTATCTATCTATCTCTTCTATTGTTATAAGTAAAAATTTGGTTATTACACCTGAGAATATAAAGAGCCGAACTGAAGCCATTTTGTGTTTGCAGTCTGAACTTTTAAAGTTCAAAACATTTATGTAATGTGTTTTCTGCTAGGAATAATACAATGTTGCAAAACTATGTACTTGGCATAAGTTAGAGGTATGTGCTGGGGTGCTCTGACATTATAAATCACATTAAGAGATATTAATGTTTTCTTATAATTTTCTGGTATTTGAATAATAGGAAATCTGACTATAATGAGTTGTCCATGGAAGATTGGAACTTTCTTATGAAAACATCCATATATGGGAAAAAGGAAGTGTTATGTAACCATGTAATTTGATAAACCTATATAAGCTGCATTCACTAAATGGGGGTGTCTCCTTCCTCCTAGAAAATGTTTTTTTTTCTGGAGTAGGGGGGTCCATACTGCAGTATTTTCCCTAATAAAGCATCCTATGGATCAGATTATCAAAAGTCTGTTGATTCATTTTTATATGCTTCTCATATCTATTATCTATCTATTTTTATACATATCTATCATCTATTTATCAACTATCTAGCTGTCATCTATCTATCATCTTATCTATCTAATTTCTACATATTATCTATCATCTATCTATCTATCATCTATCTATCTATCTATCTATCTATCTATCTATCTATCTATCTATCTATCCTACTTATCATCTTCTGTCCCCAGATACCATCATTAGCCTTGTCAATGTTAGCTCCCCCAACTTAAGGTTTTCCAGATGTATGGAACTAAAATTCCCATCAACAGTTCCCATCAGATAAGGAGTGTCGTGGTCCATCTTATCTGGAGAACACTCGGTTGGAGGAGGAGAGGGCATTCAGAAAATGCAAGCCTGGCTTGGTGGCCTCGTGGTCCCCGTGCTATCAACCAAAGGATATGGAAACCATTTTCTCCAATCATTTTGAAATCATCCAAAAGGTGGATGATGTAATCGCTGCCTTGGTCTTTCCTCCTCTTGCTATTCACCTGTCAAAAGAGGAAGAGAAAGGGTGACCCACCAAAGAAAGCTACAGTCCATTCTGTTGTCATCCTAGAATGCAAAGCAGGGAAATTCAGGCTTAGCTTACAGGAAGAGAGATTTGGTTGAGGATTAAGAAAGACTTCTGGAAACGTAAGAGCAGCTGAGCAGGAAAAGTAAGTACCAGAGAGGTGGTGGATTTTACTTTTCTGGATGTGTTCCAGAGGAGGCTAGATAGCCATCTGTTAGGGATGTTTTAATTTAAATTCCTTCACTGAACAAAAGTTTGGACCCAATGGCCCCTGCCAGACGTATAATTGTACAGAATTTATGCAAATCACTCATTTTTTTAGAGTGTCTTGAACTTTCCTCAATCTGCAATTTAGGGATAATTGGAATCTAGATTTATATACACAAGCAGGCACTGGAACAATCCAGCTTGTTCTTTATGGAGCACAGAAAAGGTGAGCCGGTCCTTTGCATGCTGAGCTATTACTTAGACACACTGACTGGAGTTGTGTAGATTAGAAATAACAGGTTGGCCTCAGATGTTCTATATGCCTCCATTGGAGAAGAATAAGTGCCTGTCTCAACAAGCCTTGTGAATCAAGGCGGGATGAACTAGCAGGAACATCTGGATAGACATCTTCCACTTTTTTGGCTGTTCAACAATCCTCCTGATGACTTCACCACTGCTCCTCCTCCTGGTGCTCAAGGGAGATGAGTGAAATGTGGGCAAAGGGTGGGATAACTGAACATGCAAGGTGTCAGGAGGAGATTCTGCAGGCCAGATGGTCCAAAAATAGACTTTGTGGGCCACGGGTTTCCCCCATTCCTTTATAGCAATGTTTTTCAACCTTGGCAGCTTGAAGAGGGGTGGACTTCAACTCCAAGAATTCTCTAGCCAGCCATGATTCCTGATTCATCTGAAGAACAGTTGCAGGAATGGAGTATGGCCGAATCTGGTGAAAAGGACTAGGGGGTGACATGATAGCAGTGTTCCAATATTTGAGGCACTGCCACAATGATGAGGGGTCAACCTATTTTCCAAACCACCAGAAGGTAAGAGAAGCAACAATGGATGGAAACTAATCAAGGAGAGAAGCAACCTGGAATTAAGGAGAAATTTTCTAACACTGAGGAGCAATTAACCAGTAGGTCAGCCTGCCTTCAGAAGTTGTGTGTGTGTTCCGTCACAGGAGGCTTTTGAGAAGAGATTCCATCTGTCTGGAATGAACAATAGTGTCCTGCATGACCAAGGGGTTGGACTAGAAGACCTCCAAGGTCCCTTCCAACTCTATTATTCATTGATACGTACATAGCGAAGGAGCATGACTTCATCCAGGGCTGCCTCGGCAAAATTCTCCCCTCCTTTGGGTACCTTCACAGCCACGCACCTATTTTTCCTGAAATAAAACACATTGCTTAAAATGAGTACAGAATAAAAGATCTTTTTTTCTTGGCTTTGGGTTGCTTTGAATTCCACTGACTGCTGTTTGGGACATTGGCTTACATTTCCCCAACTGGCTATGGAAGTCCACTGATGAAACCTGCTTTCAAAGGGCAACCTTTAAAAGTAAAATGGGGCATGATGGTTTCCTTGAAAGAACTGAATATTGAAGTGGATAGGTGGTATAGCTGGTAAGGGACAATGCAAGGAGGACAGAGACCTCCTCCTAGTTAAACATAGAATAGGAAATAAATGTGTGGGAGGGGAATATGTGCTAGGCAGGTGTCAGATGCAAATAATCAGGCACGTTAATTGAATTCAAAATACAGAAGAGTGTATTATTGCTACCTATGCACAAAAATCTGGTCTACGAATGATCAAAGCTACATTGGCACTAGATTAGGGTTAACAGAATTCATGGAGGGCTGGACTTGGGTCTCTTGTGGCAACACGATGATTCCAAACTGATGACATGTTTAACTCTGCCCTTCCAGCTCAGCCTGCTCTTTTCTTACAGCAAGATAGGCATCTCACCATGGAGAGGAGGTATCTATTAAGGATGCCTCGTGTTGAGGTAATTCCCCGTTAGGAGAATGAGCGCATACAGGGAGACGTATAGAGAGTAGTGTTTGAATAATACACACAGCACACAGATACACTGTACAGTAAATGTAGAGTTTTACTGTCAATAAAGGTTTGAGCAAAGTTCAAAATAGGCAGTCCAAAGTCATTCACAGGTAAGATCAGTCAGTTTTTAGTCCAGGGTTAATTCAATAACAAAGTCCAAAAACAGTTCAGTAACAGACTTACATTAAATCCAGTAATATCAGTCAATTAGAAGAAATGGAGGAACAGCAATACTTTCCAACAGAAGGAAAAAGAGACTGAGACATACTCTCTTCTGAGATTAAGACTAAACAACCCAGGTTTCTGGCTCCATCTTATGGCCGCTTGAATAGCCACACCCAACTACAGTTTTTGCATTTTCTTAAAGATATAGTACTAAAATGTTTATCCTGGTTTATATATTTCTAACCCAAATACCTGTTAGGTGACTTATATTCCTAACACCTCTTTTGCAAAAAGGGAAAACCTCTCAGGCCTCTACTTCCTCCGCTCCCAATATTTCAATACCCACAAGCACTAATATCTGGTTCCCTAAATCTCCCCCAGGACTGAACCCAGAGAAAAATTCACAGACCAGCACTGATTTGAAAGGACTGAGCTGTTCTAGGGAAGCAAAGGCTAGAATTCTATTTTCCCTTGTAGCTTGATATGAACTTATTCCTTGTACACTTGTAGACAAGACAGGAAACACAATCAGATGAGTTAATATCATAAGGCTACATTAATAGAATTAATTCAGTTAATTCAGAAACACAATCAGATGAGTTAATATTATAAGGCTACATTAATAGAATCTTGCACGTCTGAAAGAACAAATCTCCTGCTTGAGAACCTGGACAGGGGGTATCCTTCTGAGTTTCTTTCTTCTCCCATTATGAAGTGGTGGGCTATGCTGTCTCTTATCTGACTGTGCCCCTTTCCCCTCTGTTTTCCAAGGTCATTCCCGCATACTATTACATCTAAGTCACTGTTCCAGCCAGTTTAAGAAAGGTATTTATTTATTTATTATTTTTTTATTTGTCAATTGCTTACAAGATAATAGGTATAAGTAAAAACATAGTTATGAATACATGGATACATATAAGAAAAATAAAAAATATATAAAAAACAATAGGACAGGGATGGTAGGCACGTTGGTGCACTTATGCACGCCCCTACAGACCTCTTAGGAAAGGGGTGAGGTCAGTAGTAGACAGTCTAAGGTTAAAGTTTTTGGGGTTTGAGGAAAAAAAACACAGAGTCAGGTAGAGTATTCCAGACATTGACCACTCTGTTGCTGAAGTCGTATTTCCTGCAATCAAGTTTGGTGCGATTAACCTTGAGTTTGTATCTATTGTTTGCTCTTGTGTTGTTATGGTTGAAACTGAAGTTTTCATTGACAGGTAGGACATTACAATATATAATTTTATATACTATTCTTAGATCGGACCGAAGGCGGTGTAGTTCTAGGTTGTATAGGTCTAGAGTTTCAAATCTGGTGGCATAAGCAATTATTCTGCAATGAGTAGAGGAGTGGAGAACTCTTCTTGTGAAATATTTCTGGACTTTCTCAACTGTGTTAATATCAGATACGTAATGTGGGTTCCAGACTGATGAGCTGTATTCGAGTATTGGTCTAGCAAATGTTTTGTATGCTCTAGTTAGTAGTGTGATATTACCAGAGAAAAAGCTATGTAACCATAGTATTGCTGAGTTCTTCAACCTTTCCTCTAGTTCCCAGGTTCCAATGCTGGGTTGTTCCAAATGAAGCGCATAAAGCACTTGCAACCAATGTCTCAGTGCAATCATTCCATCCTTCCCTGCTTGGTGGATTGTTTTGAGATGAAGGGGAAAAGGGATGGTTGAAGAAATAGGAAGACATCTATTACTGTCATGGAGAGTAGGAAGGAGTGGCTGCATTCCAGAGGGCAAAAAGACAGCCAAGTTTAAATAGTTTGGTTGGGACAAAGAGAATTAAGAAGGTTCCTCCCTAGCCATTCTCATAATAGTATGTATAGTGATGCAAATAGTTGCCTTTGTTGGGCAAGATTTCTGTCTGTAGGTGAGGAACAATAAAGGAAACTTATCTGAAATAATTTTGTGTGTCTTCCTTGGTTCTTGGGCCTGACAGTTACTGGCAGAAAACCAGTTACTGGTTTTCTGCTAGTAACTGAGTGAGACAGAACGATTGCATAATAAAAAGGTCTATCTGGGAAGCATCTTTGATGTGTGCTTCTCATGAATGATTTGTCTGCTGACTAGGTGAACTGAAAATTACTCTGTGGAGAGCAGAGCTTATGACCATGGTGGAACAAAGAGTCAGCAAATGGACCAGCTTCTCAGAATTCCTCCTTAGACAAAGAGAATATTAGAGATTGCTCACAAATCTCCAGAAGAGTAGCTCCTCAGAGACTGTATGAGTTAATAGCTCTAGGAGCTGAATTAGTGCCTTTCTTTTCCTAACCCTTTCAAAAGGACTCTGGATTTACCTATTTCTTTCTTAATAATGTCTGAGAATGGCTTATTAACAGGTGAGGATACATATAAATATATATTTTTAAATGAATGAATTATTTTCAGAAAAGCATGTTTCCTCACACCAAGTGAGTTGCTTTCAATAAAAGAAGTTTTATGCAAGTTTAAGGACTTTAAAAAAAATCTTAGTTTGGAAAAAACAGTGGAAAGATGATTAGAATGTTCATTTTGGAAAGTTTAAAACAGATTAAGGGGCCAGTTGTTTTGAAATAAGAGTTTAAAATTAATGGCAAGAATTCTTCCTGTGGGAAAATTCTGTTGATTAAAAAAACAAAAACGTAAGGCGGTATTTTGAAGGTTGGATGTTAGAGAGAACTGGAAAGAAGCAAAGATTATAAATAAAAGAGAAAAGACCCACTAATACTAAATGGAGTAATGTAACTTTGGAAGAATTCAAGGATATCTGGGGACAACGCAGTTCAATAATTATTTTTAATATTGTCTGCTATCATAAAACTTGATTCAAAAGGGATTATAGAAGAGGAACTGGTTTTACTGGATAAGACAGAGACTGAGGCTGACTCCAATGTGGATTTTAAAATGACAAGTTACTATAATGATATGGAAAACAATGTCATACTGAATTTACAAATAAAATGAGCTGGTGACTTTATAATTAAAAGGGATATGCAAATAACACATCACAAAAATTGACTCATAACTATTTTGGATTTACAAACAAGAAGCATTAAAGTTTTGAAGGATGATGAAAAATCAAGTTCTGGGACACTATTTAAAGAGATTACAGATAATTATTAAAAATAAAGGAAAAAATGCAAATTTTAATTTATTTGATTGAGGTTAAAATATATACAGTATGTTATTGTTTCTAGTAACTCTTAATAAACATTTTTGCTGACAAATTAAAAGGGTTTAAAGGTTTTTTATAGACACAAGTTGAAATGCAGGAAGACTTTTCATTCTATTTTCAGTACTAACAGAAAAAGTGCTAAACAATGAAATTGTTTCTACTTGTCATGATGAAAGGAGAATTCATTTCTTTATATCTATCTTCTTTTTTCTTTACTGTGTATATGTTTCTTGCTTTTAAATATTTTTCTTGAACTTTTTTCCTTTTTCCCCTTTACATTTTTCTTAGTTCTAAACTTTAATAAAAACTTTTTTAAAAAAATAATAATGAATGATTTAGCAGCCAACCTGAGTACTTCTCAGTGAGCCATGGTGGTGCAGGACCATCGTGTGGCAGTGGTTAGAATGCAGTATTGCAGGCTAATTCTGCCAACTGCCAAGAGTTTGATCCTGATTGGACAGTCAAGGTTGACTCAGCTTTCCATCTTTCTGAGGTCGGTAAAATGAGGACCCAGATTGTTGGGGGCCATAGGCTGACTCTGTAAACCGCTTAGAGAGGGCTGTAAAGCACTGTTGAAGCGGTATATAAGTCTAAGTATTAGTGCTATTGCTTCTCCAAACTGATGGCTCCCAGAAGTATTAGGGTCCCAGAATTCTCTAGCTAGCATGAAGATTACTAAATTGAGGCTGGTAAATTTAATAGAATCTCTCTAAGGGCAGGAGAGCAGACACCGCTGTCTACTAAGGAAATCCATACGCTCTTGTAACAGGAAAATAGGAGGGGGTTGTACACTCCTGTCCTTTCTCTGTAAGGTTTACAGAGGAACTGGCAGCACCACTTCAGGGTTTTGAACTCCAATCTTCTCTTACACCCACATTGGAATGAAAACTATTTTGCAAGCCATAAATACAGTTCTGCCAAACTATAACCCTTCTTCAACAGCAGAATCCACACATACGATTTCCTACGGATTATCAAAAAGTTAATTCAGATCTGGTCATTTTGTTTACTCACCCAGCATCTTGGCAAAGCCAGACTGTTGAGAAATACCCATAGCCCAGATTTTGGACCACGTGATATTTTCCATTGAATGTCTCTCCTTTCTTCACCGGATAGTAGCCGTCTGCAAAAAGGTAGAAGTGGGAACCACTACGTTACTAGAGGTAGTTTTTGACTTGGAATCATTCACTGAGTGACCCTTCAAAGTTACAGTACTGAAAAATGTGACTTACAACCAATGCAGCATCCCCACTGTCGCCTGATCAAAATTTGGTTGCTCAGCATCAGAGGTGGGCTGCTGGGGGTTCACAGGGGTTCAGGAGAGCCCCTAGCTAAGATTCTATGCAATTCAGAGAACCCCCAAATCCCACTCCTGGCTGGCCCTGCCCACCCCGCCCCACCCACGAGTCACCACAAGGCCCGTTTTGGATGCAGGTAAGTGCAGGGTACATGCAGAGGCTCGGGGAGGGTGAAAAACAGGCCTCCCAGAAGTTTGGGAAGGCCGGAAATGGGCCTGTTTCTGGCTTCCAGAAAGCCTTTGGAGCCTGGGGAGGCCGTTTTCACCCTCCCAGAGGTTTCAGCAAAGCCTCCAGAGCCCAGGGAGGGCAAAAACGCCCTCCCCCCCACTGTGGTGCAGGAGGCTGAGTAGACCACGCCCACCATAGCCATGCCCGCTCAGCAATCGGGCAAAGAACCTTAGCTAAAATTTTTGAAGCCCACTCCTGAGTGTATTTACAATAGTTATACAGTATCCTGGGATCATGCCAAGCAAAGTCAAGCCGGATTTATTTAAAGGCAGCATGATTCATTTAACAACTTCATGACTCACTTAACCACCTTGCTTAAGAATGGAAACTCGGGGCTCAAGTCTGGTTGTAAGTGGAGGATCACTTGTGAGAGACATCCAAAGGCTGGCTGCTTAGTTTTGCAAGGATGTATACTTCAGAATATAACAAGAAGCCCCTTCTCCAATGAGATTAATGTGAAGATAATTTAAGAAGATTCTCAAATGCACGGTGAACTTGCTAATCTTGTTTATCTTGTCTCTCTAAGGTTGTGTGTGTATGGCACACTGAATCACAACCACATTTTTGCCTATGTGGGGAATCTGCTGTTGAATCTTTAAGCCATGTATTTATTATTATTAGTAGTAGTAGTATTAGTATTATTATTATTATTAATTATTATTAAATTAGTACATTGTTATTAGTAGTAGTACACAGCAAATGAGATAACTATGCCGGGTTTCGTATCACAAATCACTTCCCAAGTGTTTAGGACTGTGTGATGTATCAACGGATTATGCAAGCAGATCCCAGGAAGGTGGCCTTCTGCAGCTGACCAACGGTGATTTTGTCAGCGCCAATTGTTTTTAAGTGCTTGCCTAGGTCTTTAGACACAGCACCCAGTGTGCCGAGTACCACTGGAACCACCTGCACTGGTTTATGCCAGAGTCTCTGCAGTTTGATTTTCAAGTCCTGATATCTGGTGATTTTTTCAAGTTTGTTTCTCGTCGATTTTGCTGTCACCAGGTATGGCAATGTCGACAAGCCACACTTTTTTCTTCTCCACAAATAGATATCTGGGGTGTTGTGTTCCAAAACTTTGTCAGTCTGTATTCGGAAGTCCCACAGTAGTTTTGCTATTATTATTATTATTATTATTATTATTATTATTATTATTGTTGTTGTTGTTGTTGTTGTTGTTGTTGTTGTTGTTGTTGTTGTTGTTATGTGGTGATTATAGGAACGTGAGGACTAGAGGTATTGTATCATATTTTTGCCTAGTACATGTTCCCTGTAGTTGTTTTATGGTTCAATGCAAGCTAGAGCTTTGGCTTGAGTAAGTCATTGCTCATGTAATCATGGATAAATGTGTTGTGTTATTACAGATTATAGAAATCGTGTTAATAATTTTATTATGTTTCTGGGGAGGGGGGGAGGGAAGAAAACTTGCAGTAGAGACTGTTTACTTAGCCAAGGTTTTGTTGAATTAGCCATAACTACAACCACACAATGTCAAGCCATTTGGTGGTTTGCAAACCCACATTAATGTGGCTCAGACAGTATATTGAATCCAAATCAAATAAGCCACAAGGTGAAGCTTCTGAGTAGGAAAGCAAAAATAAACCCCAGCTTGGAGGTGCCAGCTACAGCAGGCATTCCCCAGCCTTATCCTGTTGTCATTTGTGCTGGATGAGACTCTTGGCAAGTGTTCTGGTAGAGGCTTTAATGTCTGTAATACAGGTACTCCTCAACTTACAACAGTTCTCTTAGTGACTGTTCATAGTTACAACAGCACTGAAAAAAGTGACTTATGGCCATTTTTCACACTTAACAACCATTGCAGCATCCCTGTGGTCATGTGATTTACATTTGGATGCTTGATAACTGACTCACATTTATGACGGTTGCAGTGTCCCAGGGTCGAGAAAGTAGGGCAAAACTCCCTTAAACAAATTTCTCACTTAGCGACCTAAATCTTGGGCTCAGTTGTGGCTGCAAGTTGAAGAGTACCTGTACATTAAACACTTTTATACCACTTTAAAAATATTAAAATCATCATCGCCAGCAGTATATGGATCGTCCTCGGCTTACAGCCACAACTGACCCCAACATTTCCATTGTTAAACATTGTTAGATGAGTTTTACCCCATTTTATGACCCTTTTTTTGGCCAGAGCTGTTAAGCGAATTGCTGCAATTGTTAAGTGATTAAACAAATCCGGCTTCCCCCATTAACTCGGCTTCTCAGAAGCCGGCTGGGAAGGTTACAGATGGGGATCACATGATCACTTGTCAAGCCTCTGAATTTGGATCACTTGATCACGTGAGAACGCTTCAACGGTTTTCACATGGGAAAACTGGTCATAAGTCACTTTTTTCAGGGCTGTTGTAACTTCAACCGGTCACTAATTGAATGGTCATAAGTGCAGGGCTACCCATATTCTGTATCATCCACCTCATCTGAACCCCTCTGCCCATCTGGTTACCAGGAAGAAATCTACCTTTGACCACAAACCTACTGGTTAACTTGGGACAGAGTTAGTTTGATGTAGTAGTTAAAGCACGGAGCTAAAAGTCAGGACACTGCGATTTCTCATCCAACCTTAGGAACAAAATGATCTTAAACTAGTCATGTTTCTCGGCCCTAGGAAGGAAGGAAGGGCAAATCATTTCCAAAAACCTTGTCAAGAAAACTGCAGGGACTAATCCAGGCAGTCACCAGGTGTCAATTTTTTTTGTCTCTATCTCTATTTATCTCTGTCTGTCTCTATGCTTCTGTCTTTCTGACTCTCTCTTCCTCTCCTTACCTACCTATTTTTGAGACATCGCATTTAGAAATAACGTGGTGGTTTTGATTATGGCGGCACGATGGCTCAGCAGCTAAGATGCTGGGCTTGTCAGCTGGAAAGCTGGCAGACCGGTTTTGAGCTCTGAGCAGAGGTGGTATATTCAGCAGGTTCTGACCAGTTCTGGAGAACCAGTAGTGGATATTTTGAGTAGTTCAGAGAACCGGCAATACCACCTCTGACTGGTCCCGCTCCCATCTATACTCTGCCTCCCGAGTCCCAGCTGATTGGCTGGGTCTTCTTTTGTTGCCCTGCACAGGAGAATGGAGCTGGAAAGCAGGTTAGTGGGGTGGGGAGGGAATGGAGACTTTGCAGTAACCTTCCCCTGGAGTGGGGTGGAAATGGAGATTTTAAGTATATCCTTCCCCTGCCACGCCCACCAAGCCACACCCACAGAACCGGTAGTAAAAAAAATTTGAATCCCACCGCTGGCTCTGAGTGCTGCGTGACGGTGCAAGTTCCCATTACTTGGCCCAGCTCCTGTCCATTTAGCAACACAGATGTCCAACTCGCAGAGTCACATTGCCGTCACGTGATGTATCGTGATAGCTTCCCCCTTTGTGGAGCTGGGGTGGGGGTGTGGCCTGCGCATGATGCATCCGGCCCGCAGGCCGCCAGTTTGACACCCCGATAGCATTTCGAAAGCAGGCAAATGTGAGGAGCGAAATAGGTGCTATTTTGGTGGGAAGGTAACAGCACTCCAAGACCTCATGCTGGCCACATGACCACTGAACCGTCTTTGGACAGCTCTCGCTCATGGCCTCGAAATGGAGATGAACACTGCCCCCTATAGTCAGCAATGGCTAGCAGCATAAAACCCACAGGGACTCCTTTCCTTCCTGATGTAGCCACAACCCTGCCATCTACCCCAAGGGCTGATGCAAGGCTAAGCAGGACCTGCTTGCAACTTACCTCCACCAGAGGTCAAGGAGGGTTCCTCCATGGCACGGGTGACACCCTTCAAAGGGGAAGACTTCCTGGATCTGTTTAGGCTGAGGCGGTTTTACATCTAAGAGCAGAAGGAATTCAACCCGGTCAGTTGTAGGTTTGTCATTTACCAGGAGGAATAAAAAACACGCATACACAATTACACATCCCTGCAACTCCCAGCCTCCTATAGAAAGCATAGCTCCACATGTAGGTGAATAGATGCAAAGGATTACCAGGGGTGATTAATTCTAGGTTTTATGGCTGTGCACAACTCCAGAGCCTCTTTTATTGCAGCCTCCCTAGATTTTTGTCTAAACAGAATGAAAAAAAAAAGGGAAGTAGGGTTTTCTGTCATGTCGAGGAGAGAAATACTGTGGTGCAAAGCCTAAAATAACTTGAATTTTATCCCAAAAGATACAGTGGCACACTATTTCTGCCATATTGTCAAGGGAGTCCCCAGGAGTCAAATTCAAAATAAATATTAGACTTTTGAGCGGCAATGAAGTGTGGTGGTTAAGGGGCTGGACTGATACCAGAAAGTTCCCCATTCGAGCCCATCCCCACCATTGGAAGCCTACCAGGTGTCCCTCTGCCTCATAGGATGACTGCAGGTCCCCCTGCAGAAGAGTCAGTTCAAGCTTAGCCTGTTGGATGTTTCTGTTCCCAGGCTCATTTCCCCATCAGGAATAAAATTGTCCGGGCAAAGGGCAACTAGGCAAACCAGGCTGCTATACATCACAGCTCATTCCTAACTCAAGAATGAGAGAGCTACAGGAAGCTGGACTCAAAGGTCTGAATGATTCTATTATCTTAATGGTGTCTGTGACACTCAAGATACTCGTAGATTGATTGAAGTGGATGAGGGCTTCCTACAACCAATCAGACTAGAGGTCCAAGGGACCTTGGAGGTCTTCTAGTCCAACCCCCTGTTGAAGCAGGAGACCCTCTAGCATTTCAGACAAGTGCCTGTCCAGCTTCTTCTTAAAAACCTCCAGCGATGAAGCACCCACTGGAGGCAAGCTGTTCCACTGGTTAATGGTCCTCACTGTTCGGAAGTTTCTCCTCAGTTCCAGGTCGCTTCTCTCCTTGAATACTGGAATACTGCTATCATGTCACCTCTAATCTTTCTTTTCTCTAGACGACTTCTTCTTCTTCTTCTTCTTCTTCTTCTTCTTCTTCTTCTTCTTCTTCTTCTTCTTCTTCTTC